CCACCTGTGTGACCGAGAACCACCAGCAGAGTCAGTCACATTGTTTCGTTAAACGATCCCTAGATAAACGAAGTAGGGAACACTTATTTAAAAAAAAATATACTCAATTGATAAACTACATCCTTGGTACTCCAGGAGTTACGCTCACTTTCGCTCTCTGCACCCCTCGAATATGTCGTAGCAAAATTGAAGGCACAAGACAAGCTATTTGATTGGTCGCGCTTGACTGATGATTGTCCTTTGCAGATTACAGATGAGTTACACCCGACTTCACAGCCAGTCAAATTCACCGCTAAGCGACGGTCTGATTCGTTTGATGTACATCAAAGAATCAAACGGGTCTTCTCGTCTCGTCCACTAGGTGGTGCACACTTGACCTTCGTTTTTGCTATGACATATTCCAGTTGTGCAGAGAGCGAAAGTTAGTGTAGCCCGTAGCCCCTGGAGTAGCGAGAATAGAAGAACTGATAACTAATAATAAAAATAATTTAAAACAATGAAAATCTGAGTGATAAGGACATTACAATTTGATTTTCCTTCCTTTTTCATGATTTCCTTAGCATGTTTTTAACGATTTTTATTTTAAGTTCAATTTTGAGAAATATTGAGTTTTCTATAAGATATAATTGTGGTAAAACCCCCAATAATGTGTAATTAATACCAAAGAAACTGTCAGTGTTCGGAAAACAAATTGATAAATCCACCAAGATAAGATATTTCTTTGAGTTATGTATTATCATAGTTTTCATTCTAGTATATTTACATTCTGTATGCTTAGACCCATTGACAAAAATTACATTCATAAATGCATAACACAGGTGTTCATAGAATCTCAGCACGTGGGAACTGATAGTAACCTGATCACACTGCGTAGTAATACACTACAAAAACTACTCACTCGGAACGACCGACCTAGATGCTTAATTCTTACATCTTAAAATATTATTGAACTGTGCTTTGTGAAATATCCACGTATTCACGTGTCCTGTGCTACAAATAAACATTGAATATGGAACTACATTTTGTTGTGTTATTGTTGTTGACGGTTGCTAAGATCTCTCACGATAGTGTCACATTTCCCCGCGAAAAAACACTGTTCTCGCCACTGCGTTGCACCCGTGTATAAGCAGGAACAAACCCTGTTTATTTGTTTTATTCGTTGTTATATCGATCCACTGAAAGGATTCGTCAATGTAAATATAAGGAATGATATTTATTTTTTCAACATTTATGAGGTCATAACAACAATGGGTTTTTGGACATATTTTACATGAATCGCTAACGCGATTCATTCAATATGTCCATAAACCCATTGTTGTTATGACCTCATAAATGTTGAAAAAATAAAAATCATTCCTTAAATGAATTAGTATTAAGTATGTTGTCTCAAACATTGTCAGCACTGATAACACTCTGATAGTTTATCCTGGTGGCACTCGTACAAATAGATAACACCAAATTATATACAACTTTATATATATTTCAATCAGATGCATAATAAAAACGTCCGAACGTGACTATTATTTGTGATCAAATAATGAGTGACAGAGATTCATAAAAAAAGAGAAAATAAACATCGAACGAAAATCACATATGTGTCATTGATAAATCACGAGTTGGTTGTTGAATTTTCATATCCATATCATATATTAAGTCGGAGCTAAATAAGACAAAATAGATGGACCGATGGCATCACCTTTGCGTACACTCATAAATTTATCGATCATTTAACGGCCTTGATGAACTATCGGAAAATGAAATACATTACGCATATCTACATATGCCCACCACATTCACGCGAAGTTTCGGGTGTATTCGGCCAGTGGTTTATGAGGAGAACTAGGGCAAAATAGTTGGCGAATAAAAAATAATAAGAAAGAACAATAATAATGACAAGAAGAAACGTAGCAAAATTAATAAGTCCCCAACTTCGTTTAGTTGATTTGTTTAACAGCCCTAGTACGTTTATATTCTTGTTCCGTTGTCAATATCAGAGATTTAATGTCTTTAGTACTATTATCCCTAGCAACGATATCATGAAATGTAAATGTCAGTGGCCGGATTATTCATTTATAATATTTAATAAAGGACGGATGGATAAACTATCAAATTGTTTTCTTAACGTCAAATTTGCAACGATCGTCAATAAACCCAACCATGCATTTACAGTTAACGTCCGTACCACTCCCATCGTATTGAACAGTACAGGTACCGTTGTTTTCACAGGGGTTAAACATACAGGGATCTGATCAAATAAAACCGCAACAAAACTGAACAGTCAAGGTGAAAAGAAATAACACCAATGATTAAAATAGAGTCATGGTGTTTTTACGTTCTCAGTTCCAGGCGTGTATGCTGTTTTGGAAGAAGAATCTACTTAACTGAGTGTCCCTTTGGAATATATTATGTAAGAATGAGCTTTAGGAACACCTAGCCCTGTTCATTCTACACTTTTCAAGGGTCTCCATCAATCACTCTTTTATTCATATTTTGGCTTGGTTTTGCGACAACTCTCATTTTAAAGCGGTAGTAGTATCACACGCGTCTTATTAACCTTAATTCTTGCATTGTTTGACATGCCAGATAAACGAAGAATGCTGAGTGTCATTTAATACCTTGAATCTGCTGTTGCCAAAAAAATCCAGTGTAACACACACAATTCCAAATAAGGCTTTAAGAACAAAATTTACAATGTATTAACGGTATGCCTATATGTAAATGGGACTACGTCATGCAACGTAAACAGTGGTTAGTATTGGTATCAATATATCCTACCACGAGTTTAGACACATAGCGACACCGATGGGCATTATTAAAATGATGTTTTATATAGTTCTTTCCAATAAACATTTATGTTTTAGAGAGAAAGAAAAAAAGAAGAAAAAAACATCGCACAGCCGTATAATGACGAAAGTGTTTATATTACAGTACATGTGTTTTACAACAAACACATGTACTGTAATATAAACACTTTCGTCATTATACGGCTGTGTAGATTTAAATGTTGTAAATATACAACATTTAAATCTACTATCACTCTACAGTCAGTGACTATGATTGAACAATTCATTAAAATATCATACTTCATGACAAACAATCCAGTAAAATACAACATTTTAACAATATAAGCGCTATATCATATTGTACAAAATTCCTCTTTAATACGCGATGTCAAGTGAATTAAAAAAACAAATCTGAATAATTGAATATAGTTGTTGTGTGAACACGGCGTGAAAAAAACGATGCTCGTCAAAACATCGGATCGAGTCACTCCCAGAGTTACAGGATACAAATGCTAGTATGATTGTAGTAAATATGAATTATTATCTGGTAGTGAGTGACTTAATGAAAAACCTCGCGAGAACCGCACAAGAATGTTGTCTGTCAAACAGGGCTCCCCACACAAGTCGCTTCAAGGGTTCAAGTTCAGGGTACATACAGTGAGATAACGATGATAGAGATAGCTAATGGTCTAAGGTAATTAATTCATTAGATGGTACAAAAGCTCCGGGCAAAAATAGGGAACGCAAAGGAATTAAATAAACCAGCATTTAGTGTTCATTTTTATCAATCTAGACTATGTTATAAACTGTTTGGTCAGCTTAATAGGCAATAAGCACTTTATTTTACCATATGTCATTAATCAAATTCAATTTGATTGATGATAAGACTTGGTCATATGCTGTTGCGAAATAACCTTGAAACATACACCAATGCACGTTATTATGATTGTTATTTTAATTATTTATTCAATCGTCGAGGTTTTGATAACTGAGCACTACATGATTAATTGCTAGAATATAATGAAGAGTCTATAACCATTATATAGTTCTTCTCAAATATGCCATTTTAAAGTTTGTATTCCCTTATCATCATGTAATTTGTTGAGTCGTCTGCATACTCTCTCTCTCTCTCTCTCTCTCTCTCTCTCTCTCTCTCTCTCTCTGTAACTGATCGGTAAGTTACTGCTATATTGTATATGTTTAAAAGGAGACGGATTTACATAAGTTATTAACTTTTTTTCTGAATCCTTTTGTGTATCATGAAATGTTGTTGTAAAACATAAAATAAAATTTAAACTAACCTTGAAACTGACAAAAAAAGGAGGAGACGTTTATATATCATACACTCCATATAATTTAAATGTGTGATCAATAGACGTACAAGAGTGTTGGCGATACTCTTTATATCCATTTGTTGCTTTTTACATATAAAATATACACAAATCGATATGTATTTGAATTATTTAAAATATAAAATAAGGACACTGTTGTAGATTTACATCACTTATATTAAATCCCTGTACAAGTTTATCATGAACAGTGATTTATTTTAGGATCTCAACTATTCAACCAAATCATGGAGAAACTTGAATATTCATTATTGACCTCTCTGCAATACATAACTTTTTTCCTCAGGCTAAACATAACGGTACTGTTTTCTAAAACCAAAAAATATGTATATAGTATTATATCAAGAAATGAGCCTTATTTTGTTATTTATGGCACTGCTGCCAACATAAAGGCACATAATTTCTAAATATTCCAACCTATTTTTACTAAGGTGTAGAAGTTGGATTCAAAACCTCAGCAAAGCCTTGGTCTTACTTAAATTCTACACTCTCTGGTAAAATATCCATATTCCACAAATGCTCAACTCTCTTAATTACAGAGTTATGATTTCCGTTGGCGTGTCACAGTTATATGATATGACAGACACCTGCTATCGGGCGAGGCTGTTTCGGCTATACAAACGGATATTTTAAACTGTTTTAGACTGTATATTTATTTACAAGTATTACTTTGTCAAAACACCCTCATCTATTTTTTTCACAGCTTCGAATATGCACTGTTCAAATTCAAAGAATGACATGTTCAAGACAAGTTAACAATAAGACCATTGGAGTTACGTTAGACACGAGATATGTTGAAAGATAACATTTCTGCAGCGAAAGGGGAAAAAAGTTTCCTGCCAGCTGTTAATTTACAGGAACACGTGACTTGATAAGGATAATAAAGTGCTAGTCCTTCGTTCCGACATTTTTGCTTTTTAGTTTCAAAGTATCGTTGATGCTATACTAACATTCATGATGTTTTGGGTTGCAATTTTTTGTGTCGTTTCTTTGACTGTTGACTGTAGCGTTGGCAACTTGAACGAGGACACAGTTTTTGACGTCCGGGACATCAAGCGTATCCTTACGGAGCATCAGCAGCAGATTGGTATGTATATGGTCAGCTACCATTTATCTAGCCCGAGTTTCCTCTGGCCCTGACACCAGACTTAGACATTTTGACAGATATACCAGACATCTATCTGTCACAATGTCTTAAGTCTGGTGTGAGGGCCAGACGATACTCGGGCTTCCATTTGTCACGATTATTATTGTCAAAAATGAAGACCTTAAATACGTATTCTTTTAATTTCAGCAAACTGAACACATTGTACGAAAGAAATAGTGATTGATAGTACTGATGAAGGACAGTTGCAATATATGTACAGTACGTGTAATATATATAATGTGTCTGTTTAATACCATAGCTCTGCACATAGTCTATTACATATGATTATACCTGTAAACTTACTTATTTAAGTAATGATGCGAATGTGATTTCGGGATTATGTAAATAAATTGTATATTTATTTTGTATTTTGATGTTCTTGTCTGTCAAAAGTGAAAACATATTTTAAAATGTTAAGCAGAAATATGAATATGTTATGATTAATGATTATCAAACATAATGGGATTCCCCATGATGCATCATTCGTGTACTGAATCTACTTTGACCATACGGTGATCTGATGTAAATTAGTGCTATTTATAATACATAGTTTATGTTATTACAGACACCATCAATAAGGCAAATGCTATTCTTGTTCTGAGAATGAATGTAATGGAAGAGGAAAACCGATTAATGAAATCGAAATTAGCTAACGTAAAATGCAACGTACCTGAAGAGGAACTCAACCTTCAAACTCAACCCAACGACGGACCAGTGAAACCAACGATAACAACTCAATCTGGTTCTGATGACGCAACAATGGACGAATACGGACCCGATGAGCACGGGCAAAGAAAAATGACCAAACGAAATGCTCCAGGTGACAGCACCCTACATTTGAAACAGCCCCACTATATCAGGAGTGATATCCGAACGATATCAGGTATACATCATCTTTGTTATTTAAGAGTCATTTCAGGACCCAATCTAATTATTTTCCCATTAACGATGTGTGAACATTTTTTTTTCCATGTTCAAACTTCTGTCATCGCATATTACCCCAAACAAGATGAAACGAAGGTGTTCATAGTCGGAGTACAGTATTAATAATACATATTTTAAAAACACTTTTTTTCATTCACGGAATTCATTAGGAATTCCTATTTTTGTAATGTTAGTTTTTGACTTTAATATATTTTAACCAGGGACAGTACGTCCCTGATTTTAACACATTCCAGATACACGTTTTGTGTTAAGATGTCGATGCGACGCAATTACTTTGTATCATCATGAATATTCAACAACTATGGAGTTTTGTTGAGGTGAATATGTAGGTTTATGAACCTGAGAAATTAAATTAACCACAGTTTAGTCTCTTGTCACTTTTTCTATATCTCAGTTCATTGCAATCACATGTTCGTCACAACAAATTCCATCATTGATAAATATCATCTATCATTTTAAAACTTCATAATACCAGTAATTACCAGGGAGGTATGCTCTTTGCGAAACACGTAATATAAACAAAATATTATTTTCTTGCTACTGTAATGTGTATTCAGTGAAATGTTATATCCCTTAGGAAACCAAGTTGGATTCTATGTTACCCTCCGAGGACTTCGAGGTGTTTCCTTGGGAAGCCATCAAACAATACCGTTTGATAACGTTGTAACTAATGTCGGTAACGGATACAGCAAAATGAATGGCATCTTCTCAGCACCGGTCGATGGCATCTATTCTTTCACAGCTATTGTTCGTAGCTACATGAATTCCGAAGCGCATCTCATAATTACTAAAAATGGAGAACGTATCGGCAATGTTTACAAAGGTGATCAGGACAGAACTGCAACATGTACGGCAGTGCTGGTCCTGAATGCAGGCGATCATGTATATGTTCAGAATACGAATGCAAGTGTTACCGATCTTTTCGGATTTGACTATAGCTCCTTCTCCGGATTTCTCATCTGAGGTTTGAACTTAATAAACTGGTACGCGACCTTTGTTGTTTGCGTATGTTGTTAACTTAAAGTGGTTTCTTAATGCAAGCACATGGTGACATGGGAACTCTTATATTTTAAGGTGAGATAGTCACTGAGATTGAATTTATCCTTTGAGTTTAAATGAGGGTTCAACCGTGTCCATCACCTAGCGGACTGGCAGATGCAGTGATGTTGCCCTAGTTGCCCGGGCAATACCCTTTTTCTGTGTCCAAAATTAATCTGACCCAAATATATTTGAATATTTTCCTCCATTTCATATGCGAGTTTCTTATAAAAAGCTGAACCAAAATTGTGTATAGCCGGCTATCCCTAGCCAGCATTGTCAATAGGTTGAGGGTGTTGCCCAAACACCACTGATTTATCCCTCTGTTGTCACATGGTCTTTGTTTTGCCTGACCCTAACTGGTTATCCATGCACTAGCCCATTACCTGTATTGAAATTCTCTCGGAGGAAAGTTGGGCTATACCATTTGTGGGAATGAGGTAAAGTATTAATATACCGGCCGACAGCTGTAGGTTAAGTCTGTTTCATTTTTACCTGTATTTTTACCTGTGATTTCAAGTGTATACGGTCATTAAGAGTCATAATTGTGATTATCACATGTTCTTTTTAAGTATCATAGAATTTGCTAATTAAAACATACTGTTTACCTTTTGTTAGGGATTGACGCACAATATACAGCATATACCTCATATTGTTATAAAGTTGATTTTATCCCAAAAGAGGAATTTAAACACATTATTCAATTTATACTACACAATTCAATTTATATTTTCCCAAATGTCTGTGTATCACCAAATATTGGACAGACACTTCTCTAGTTTTTCCTGCATCAATGTTATTGTTTGGGATGAATTTGGGGCTGAAAAATCACCAGTGCATTCAGTATAATGAATATCAATACAAATATAGTGATGGTCACTGTATTGATTTTGGCGTGATATGTGTGATAAATTACAAAATATAGGTAGTTGCCGAAAGCTGCGATTCGAAATGTACCTATGTATATATATAACCAACATATACACAATGGAACAGCCCCTCGATCGCACACACACACACACACCTCCCCATCCCACCCCAAACTCTGAGCTTTACCTCATGCTTTAATCTAGAACACATAGTCTATTTGGAGCTCCGGTCGTATTGATGCAACTTGCAGTTATCTTGAATTGATATTCATTCGGCAAAAGAAAAATTCAAAAACCATGTCACTAAGTTTTAGTTAGGGGAGACTGGAGCAAGTTCGGCCAATTTTTATTAAAACCGTACTGGGCTGCACAACATTGTTGAAATTTGTGTACATAAACCATTTTGAAAAGCTATCCCATGTCTTTCATAAAATAGAAAGTACTAATTGTAATTGGGGACCATTACAGAAGTCCCCAAAACCCCCGCAGTTACATGTATGTTCACAGTGTCATAATAGACCTAACATATGAAATTTCAACCAATCAGAAGCTTCCGTGTCGTGTGGTAACAATGGGCACAATATGAAAATAAAGACTTGAATGCACAACTACATATGCCAATTGTTAATCATGTGAAGTTTCATCAAGATATGCAAGATATGCTTTTCGAGGAAATGATCGGACAAGTTCATGGCGGAAGAAGAAGAAGAAAGAAGAAGAAGAAAGAAGAAGATGAAGAAGAAGAAGAAGAAGATGAAGAAGAAGAAAGAAGAAGAAGTAGAAGAAGAAGAAGAAAGAAGAAAGAAGAAGAAGAAGAAAGAAGAAAGAAGAAGAAGATGAAGAAGAGGAAGGAAGAAGAAGAAGAAGTAGAAGAAGAAGAAGAAAGAAGAAGAAAGAAGAAAGAAGAAGAAAGAAGAAGAAGATGAAGAAGAAGAAGATGAAGAAGAAGAAGGAAGAAGAAGAAGAAGTAGAAGAAGAAGAAGAAGAAAGAAGAAGAAGAAGAAGAAAGAAGAAGAACAACAACTGAGTGTTCTGACTAACTGAAGCAGTCAACAACAATGACACGTCAATCTAATCATCTTTACTACTGGATTATGGTAATATTTCGACACAATAAAATATGTATCACCCTTGTGGTAGGGAAACATGATTGTTTGTTTCTCCTCGATAAATGTTTAACTTGAGCTACACCCTCCTGAAACATGATTTATCTTGCGAAGTGAGAAACAAAGAATCATGTTTCCTTGCCACAAGGGCAATACATGTACAATAGCCTATATAATATCGCTGCCCTGTTCGTCCATATTCTGTTAGGACAATGAGATTTACAAAGTTAACTATACTTTGAATGAAGTGACAACAGATGGCATAACCCCTACTTTTAATAGACTAACTACTGAGTCAATTCAACAGCAACCAGATGGAACTTTAGAAGTTAAATGTGTCATATGTCAGAATGCATGGCCATCTTGGATTTTGCAATGACTCGAAAAATAAAATGGACATCTTTAGGCCAATGAAACGATCCTTTACTAGTTTTACTACTATTTGCCCGGTGGAACTAGAAGTCACATATATCTTACAGTCAGTCAGAGGACATGATGTCCTTATATTACAACACAGAATTTGAAGTAGACCAAACATATCAATTAGTTGCAGCCATTGACTTGACCATATGTTTAAATGCTTTGTTACATTTGACCTTGCAGAGCTGGAGAAGATGTTGAAAATGTATCAAGACTCTTTTTTTCAATAATAATGGGCACCCTTTCTGCCAAAAAATGGATTCATACTTTATTAAAACAAAGCTGATTTTCCTGTCCAATAATGATTAACACCAAATTCTATTAGAAAACAAGTACACTGTATAAGAAGCTGGATTGAGTAGGTTTGAAAACTCTGCATTGACATTCTGTACTGAGCACTGCTCCTCTGCTCTAAGGGATGCTAAAATCTGTATTCGAATAAGGTTGACTTGCATTGACTAGGATAAGCTCCATATAAAAATTAGGTTGAAACCCCTTTATTGGTACCTTTAATCTAAAGATGTCTTATTACTTCCCTATTAGTACAGCATTCTTTATATGTATAAGTTAAATTATAAAATCCTTTCGAATCAGGACTTTTCAATACTAAATTGAGCCCAAAACACTTTGGCCGTTCTTGAGTAGAATTTTTTGTCTAACTCATTGACCCCCTGAAATTTCAGAATGAACTATTCCAACCTTTGAATTGGAAGAGTACAAATGTGTCATCAGGGGTGAATGAGTTAAAGGAAAAGTTGAAAACAGATGCCATGGTGTAAGGTCACCGACTGAGCTAAACTTGGTTAAAAGAAAAAACGTAACAGCAATGTATGTACAACCATTCTCTCTTTATTTGCAGGAATATAGTGGCATGTATAAAGGACTAGGGGAGTTAAGGGTCATTTCCAGCCTCATCAGGGATTTAGATTGAGTTGTTATATTCATAATCTGGAATAAATGAAGTACGCAAATATTGACAACTGGTTTAGGAGACATGGTATTACAAAGGCAGACGTAAACTTGCATTTTCATAATGAAATGTGTGAAAATCGTCTTGTTACGCGCTATTTGGTTGAAAATTGCCCATTTTGAAGGAAATTAACAATTAAAACACATTTTTGAAAGCCTCAACATGCAGCAAACAAAAAAATATTCGACATGCTTTAACATTTTTATATCAGTGTTAATTCCTAGAAAATGATTTTTGTTTGTCACATGAAGAAGCTTTTATCTCTGCATTTAAACTGTCCTAAAACACCATATTTTGGCTATTTCTGCAAAGCAACACAATTTTGATGCTATGGTAGAGCATCTACACATGTGCATTGGAAACAATCTGCACAAAGAAAGATAGTCCCAATTAATCAACATGATGCTTATAACAGAAATTGGTAAATAAATTCACGTTGAAATTTTAAAACTTTTTACGAGGCCAAAAATGACCCAGTCCTTTATCATCATTGATTGAAAGGGAAGAAATGTACCACTCAGGAAGCTGGTTACTGTCATTGATAAACTTCGTAATTATTTGATATTCAAATCCAAATATTTTGCATAAAACAATACAAGAAATATCATATCTGATGATCAGGTAAAAACTTAAAGCAATTTGCATTTGCCTGTGAAAAAAAGTCACAGAAACAAGATTTGTCAGTTTTTGTTTCGGATAAATAGCGAATCATTTGCCCCACAACCCGACATTTTTCATACACGATTTGAGATTGCCTCATGAGCAGGTGCATAATGTAAAGCATTTTCCTCCCTTTCCAGGATAGTTAATACAGGACAAATATCACTGGTCCTTACTCCTAAGTATTACATCATCCAACACCGGGAGATTGACCCGTTGACCACACAGAAAATCTGGTGCCCTCCACCCACTATATTTCAGTTCCAGTCAACGACACAATAATGCCACACTCAGTAAATGGTTGAGGACATCATCCAACAGCTCAATGTTCCAAAACAGAATCCTTTACGAATATAAGTCAAGAGTAACTGTAATTTTCCAAGGCAGAATTAATATAATCCTGTAGCAGGTGAGGTAACCACAAAATTCCAATCTAGAATTAATCTGATAAGTCGAGAGTATCCAGGTCTTCCTCTACCAGGTCCAGGTCCTCGCCATCAAATAGGTCCTCGTCGATTTCTATTGCGTCGCCGTTCACAGTTGCTGCCATGGCGGCGGCTATCGCCTCATCCGTCTCTGATATATGATTTTTCGGTGGTAACGCTCCTGCTAGGTCTAACTTGTCTTCTTCGTTCTCTGTAGGGGTAGGATAAAGAATATTAACACTGATGATAATTAATATAGCCCTGTAGTAGGTGAGGTAGCCACACGCTAAGGACACAACCTTAGTTACAGACATATCTACACATCCAAAAACACATACATACACTCATTCTTTCCATACATCATAATACAGTGGAACCTCCTACCCAAAACATTAATCCAATCAGAAACACTAGCAGAATTCAGGACATGCATCACATATAACAAAATCGAACATATACAAAACCTACGATATAACTTACACTCACTGCTTTTAACCTGTTTTTATCCTATAGCAAAAATATAATAAAAAAAAATCACTGTACATAATAATTAACGCACTACAGCACAAGACCGACTTCCGTAATCGTCGGTATCGACGGAGGAACAAAAAATTATGAAGATGAAGATACTCTGTTATTATTCATTTCATAGATTATAATCCTTGTGCACAAGTCAACTGATCCACAATCACAAAAAACGTGTAAATACAAATTAAAGATTCCTGTACCATCGAAAAGCTGTAATTATGAACTGGTAAATTTGTTATCATGACAGTGTAGCTTTTAACAATATTCTGATAGCAAAAATGCAACAGAGCAAGGATGGGATGTAACTCTGCACATCATATCAGAATACAGTCACTCTAACCGACTAATCTACACGATTATTGGTAGTTTTCTGCCCCCGTCCCACAGCAGTTATACACAAAACGAAAGTAAGGGAAGGTTACTGTTTGTGTGAAAAACTACAATGGAATTCTCTAGTGTTTTGCTTGGTTGGTTGTGGGGCAGGGATCCTTAAGAGATATAATGTCATCAGAAAATAGTACACTTGAAACAAGGAGGTCAGACCATTGTCTGAGTGAGTAATGAAGAAAACGGTCAGTTTTGTTTGTTTGTTTGTTTGTTTCAAGGTGATATAAAAGTCAAGTACCGGTAACAATGATGTTAACTGATGATGGGCAAAACAAGGGCCATTTTAAACGTTCATCAAACTGGAATGACCAAATCTAGACTTGGTAGCATACACACAATTCTGTTACTTTAGTCTGACAATGGCCAACCAGAAATGCCTAGTTAGTATCACAAAAGAACAAACAGATAATACAATAAAGATCAATATCTAAAGTGTTGCAATGGGTACAGAGATACATTTCGCTTCCATCGATACGCCATAATATGGGAGAATATAAGGAGACCGCACTTCTGCAGCAGAGCCTATAATAATATTCCCTAATGACTATGCCATGGGATACATCTGTCTAACCTGAAGGGGTAACCTGCTTGGAGTACATACAGGAAAACAAACCTAGACGTGAAGTCCCAACGGAGAGGTGACCAATGACAAAACCTACAGGGGGAGCCTGCTCCGACAGCCTCCTCCGACAGTCCAACAAAGCAAATGTATAGCAGAAATCGGGTCGGAGAGTCCCACCAAACATATCTTACATTGCCAGTCAACAATGCAACATTTATTTTTTGAAACATTGCATTTTTTTCACTCAAGAAATAATGGAGAGTGTTTTGTGGGCTATACAAAATGCCATATGAACTCCATATGATCATCTATTTTGTAGAAGAGGAAGATATCATTTTTGCATGTGCAAAACATCAACAAGAGATTATATTTTTCGAGACAAGATTGAATTTCTAGACGTGCAGTAACTTGGAAAAAAAGTTTCAAATGAACAACACAACTGTAACACTTATCAAAATTTCGTAAGGGCATCAAGTTCTACCTCTCTAATGACACTGCCCACCTCCTCCTAAAATGGTGGATACACTAAGAATATCTGTACCAATATCTGTACCTTCTAACTTGACCCCTCAACTTACCGCCTAATTTGGTGGCTGCCTTTTTCGCCGAATCTCCAGCCCCACTTGTGGTGCCAGTTCTGTGCGATGATGTGGAGACCGTTCCAGTACCATCCACACTCTGAGCCAGCCCCGCTAATGATTCAAGGTTCAGCTCCACCACCTTCCCTTGGTCAACCTTAACAAGAGGCAAATAACATAGTTAAGACATGTAGATCACTAGATTTTCTATAGATAAATCCATTAAAAAACAAACATTCTTCAATATTAAAAGCATCACCATTTTCCTTTAAAGTCTTTCTTAAGAGTTTGTATATTATTCAGATCTGGCCTATTATTGTGTGATAATAATCAGATCTGGCCTATATCGTCTTTGCATATTGCAGAGTTATCTTCTCTTGTGAGCAGGTATTGATTATTACATCATTGGTTTGTGTGTGAAAATTACGTCGCTTTCTCTAAAATTGATGACGTTACTCTCAGAAACAAATGATGTAACAATAAATACCTGCTCACAAGAGCAGATAACTCTGCAATATGAAAAAGACGGAATTGTGTGATGATAATCTATCTTAACTCAAAGAGGGAAGAATATTCTACTGATTTCAGCAAATGCTTACATGAGATAAACAAGTTCTATAAAGTTATTTTAAAGATTTACGTTACATACATCTCCTTCTCCGAATAGCTCTACAATAACCTGTACATAATCTTTTATGAATGTTTCTGACTTATAAACTGATGAGACATCAGTAGAAAAGAACACAATCATCAGTAATTATCACATTATTTTCAGAAATGTTATGACAAAAACAAAATATTTCATCCTATAACCCTACATTTTTTAATTACACATAAACTACATACATTATATAAACCGTTCTACATAATTTTAGGGATTTCACAGAGAAGAAAAGTGACCATGTGCTCAAAATATAACCTTATCTCTCATTTCCGTGTGTGTAAGATAGAGCTGTCCAGGGTAAGAAAGGGGTGTAGGAAATTTCTATCCTACACCCCATTTCACGTGACAATATGGCTCAACAACGATGTGACGTCACAAATTTGGAAAACTCCCGATGCCGCAATGCGAAAAAGGTGTCATGATGAAATTAAAACCTGTTACGATATATTTATAGTACACACTTTAAAGAGATGAGATTATTTTTTCTGCACAAACTCTGTTTGCAAATATGGGGTATTCTAAATCTGGCTACCCTTGTTATTTTCAAATTTTGCAAAACCCACGGCAACGCCTCAGGTTTTACCAAATTTTAACAAGAGGCCCCATGGGCCTTAACGGTCACCCGATTCATACAGTATTTATTTTTGTTGTTGAAATATGAAGTGGAGATAATGAGGTCAATCATTCCCACCAATTTGAGTAAAAAATATTTAAGTATATTGGATTTTTGATGGGCCCGGAAAAAATAGATAAAAAGGATAGGTCAGTAGGCAAATAATTTCAATTAAATTTATTTTGTTTGTTTTCATGGATCAATATCATGCTTTGTATCAAATTTTACAATACATTTCCACACATTATATATATATATATTGTCAAGAATACGGTCAGACAGAGGAAGAACGTTCATTTTAATGAGTACCTGGTAGCTGTGAACTTTACCTGGCTATTAAATTAATCTTAAATACAAGTGTAGGTGATAAAAACTCTAGGGTCGACAGGAAAATCTAGGGTAGGTTAGGATACCTGAAACAGTCATTTTTTTGGGTTTTTTTGGCCTAATGGAACACCAGGAAAAAAGATTGTGGTTAGTGCAGGCAGAGAAAAGTGGCCTTTCGACCTCCACTCCTCCTATATTTCTTGAGTAGTCATATTGCAGTATCATTTTATCTATATATAGACAATGCTTACAGGGCTGACACCCAGTTCCTTTCACACATGATATCAAATCAGGCTTGCAAGGATTCAAACATTTCAAATGTTCACAGCTTACTGAAACTGCTTTAAAAATATTTCTATATAAAAAAATCATGCTTACATCGTCAGGGTCCGTTTCTCTCTCGAAGGTGCCCTCCTGGGCCTCGTCATCGTCCATAGCGACAAAGTCAGGATTGAATTCAAACATTTCCCTGCCGCTGATCTGGAAACGTAAGGAAGTACATCTTTCCCTTTAAATACATCAACTGACAGTGTTCTTGTTAAGTTGTGAAATGGGTGGCTAACTTAAAAGAAAGTTAATTGAATGTTTACATACTATGTTGACCTATACGTATTCTGAAAACCTACGGATGAAGACATATCAGGGTTTCAGAATGTAATTGAGGCGATGTTTAATGGTACGCATGCTCCTGTTGACCTGTATCAGTCCAGCATTTATCAGTTGAACAATTACCAATTATTGTGTTTCCTTGGTTTGAAAGGTATCTTAAGCTTCCAACTAGTGATTTACATAAAATGAAAAATGATTATATAATATATATATCAAGCATTGTAAGATTCAATACTTTTCCTCAATACTGATTCAAGTTCTATTCTCAATTTCAGAACAGATTTCGACCAGGTATAAATACATACTGAATAAATTCAAGAAAAATGAATGAAAAGAATACAGAAAAGTGTAACAGTTCAGTTTAAGTAATAAAGCAAAAAAAAAAAAAAAAAAAAAAAAAANTTTAAATGTATTTTTTTTTAAGTAATCAATTATAAAATTACCACTGTGGAGTTCAGTGTAAATGATATGTGGTACCGAATCTAAATTATTATAAAGATTTTATAGATCTAAAAGAAATAAACACTTTGTGCATTTTTGTCTGGACATTTATTTAGCCTTAACCCTTTCACCACTGTAGACCATAATGGACTCATCCATATCAATGTATGGCAGAGTCTATTAAAGTTACATAGGGGTGAAAGGTTTAATGTTTTACCAACATTGGCTTTACTTACCCCACCAGTTTTACCAGATTTGAAATCTGATTTCTTCTTATCCATCGTTTTCTTATCAGCCTCAATCCTTTCCTTCCGCTAGAATAATAAAGATATAAAAAGCCAATGATTAGAGTCAACTTCTTGTAACAGAATTAAAAGGTTGATTGATGTAAACTTATGAGTACAATAGGTATACAGTTCTATATAAAAAAAAAATGAAATCATTCAAAGAGATCATATACAGCAAGATCAATCATGATCCCTTCAGCAGTTTCTGCATCAAATTTATACTCAATCAGAGAAACAAAATAATATTTTTGATACAGAAAAAAACACCTCTCTCAACTCTCAGATTATTCTTTAGAAATCCCCCCCCCCCCCCCCCCCCCCCCCAGATAATTTAATCAGACTACTTAAAAGAGTCTATATTCTTTTTCCTAACTTGCTAGAAATCCCTTCTCTCCCTGCTATATATAATATATAGAGAGAGAGATTTCCAATATTTGACTACTTAGATGTGTAAATTGGGGCTAAAATGATATGCATACCTCACGATACAATATGTATCGCAGTATTTTGCTAACAATACCTATCAGGGTACAAATATCTGCTTTAATGATCAACTTCAGATTGACTGAGTGCAGGGTTTTATTGAGTTTTGTCATAGACTTCAACAGTAAATACTATCAAAATATATTTGTGTATGATTTCTAGTACTTTTGGGCTTGACTGCATAGTGGATCACTTTTTTACTGAAGGATTCCAAGTCTGTAATCACGAAAAATACAGGGTTTATGTTTCATCTTTCACCGGTAGGTGTGTGTTATATAGAACCTATGTAGGTCAACCTCGTTCTCCATCTTCTTGTTGGTGCTATTTTAGTTCTGTACTTTGTTTATAGGTTAATTTACATGAGTATAAGTATGTGACGTAAGGGATTATAATAGGGGGACTCTGTGTGTTGTATTGCATTGATGTATGAAGTTATAGGCAATAAATTCATTTAAAAACTTTGTGTAATTTGTAGTGATGTAAGGTTTTTTTTAAAACACTTGTTCAGATTTTGATAACAAGAGGCCCAATGGGCCTGCATCGCTCACCTGTTATTAATCTTCGGGCAGGTGAGCTAAAAATTGATTGCCTATTTAAGTACTGTTAGTGTATCGCCCATACAGGTAAACAAAACAATTTGATAAAATACACAAGAAAGTATCACAACACGATACAATATATCCTTGCAGTCCCAAGTGTCAATAAATGCATTAAATACGGAGAAATGACAGGATGTTTTCCTTTTATATCAAACAGAGATGACACACCTTCCTTTCTTTCCAGGCCAAAAAGGTCTCTAAAGTCACTCGAGTTGTGTTGTGTCCGAGCGCCGATCTCTAAAAAAAATATTAAAAAAATGCTTTTATATCAAAATCATCAACACGTATAAAATATATGACTGACATGAATAAATCTGTAAATAATCAAGCAATTTTCCAGCTTCCAGAAAAAATGTCAGGTTTCTGTTTTTAGTGTACGACCTGTATACGGATCCTATTGTTATAAAGCACAAAATTAAAACGAATTGAAAACAAATTTCGAAGTAATCATAAAACTTTTTCATGTGAAAATTTATATCAACACAAAACTTTTTTGTAAAGAGTTCTTTATAGAAAGGAGTACATGTTATTTGAAACATTGTATGCCTATACTACAGAGTGTATGTTCCAGCAGTTTTCAAGGAATCCTTCACAAAACCCAGCATTTTTCTAACAGCAAATTTTCTGTACTTTTCAAGCAGTTCAAGCACTTTTCATGGCCTGTATAGATCATGTCAGAGCATGCATATTATAAACTGTTCAATTCAACCTATTTATTAACTAGTAATCTGTTTCGATTTACTCCAATCCCACTCGAAAAACCCCAAAATCGAGTTTTGATAAGGTATTTGCATCAGGTTTTTCACATGAAATGCAAGATTTCCTTGCACCCATTTAGAAAAAGAAAACCCTTTCACCCCCTATATAACTTTTGTAGACTCAACCATGCATTGATCTGGACGAGTCCATTAAGGTCTACAGTGGCGAAAGGGTTAAAAGTACAGATCCATTTAGGGGTATTCCAATGGGATTGCCAAAATGCATATAAAAATTCTAGACTATGGTAAATATTCAAAATTTAAGATTGATTAAATATCTTAAGTAATATTAAACTTCTAATCATACAAACCTCTCTTTCTATCAACTCTTCCATAGAAATCTTTTCTTCGTTATCCTCCAATTTTTTCTTGTCTCTCTTCAATAAAAACCCTGCATATCAAGTGAAAATGAGGTAAGTATATTGAATTAGAAATGTAAGTTGTGGCAGCAACAGTTCACCATTATATATTAGTAAACTTCTTCATCACAGATTGATAACTATATATGACTTGCACAAACAAAATGGCACATGTTTCAAGTAGTGCATAATATTGAATGTTAACCCTTTCACCCCTATGTAACTTTAGTAAACTCGACCATGCAATGACTTGGTTGAGTCCATTATGGTCTACAGTGGTGAAAGGGTTAAAGCACCAAACACATGACAGAATTTCCCTTATTCACATATTCAATTAGTTCTTATTTATATAGTGATATATAGAAACTTTATGATAAGTGTTTTTGAGGTTCTGATGCAGTACAATCACAACCTAGATAAACATCATATGAATACAGTACATTTCACTTGATGTCATTAGTCAAAGAAAAATATGATACTAAGCAAAACATGATATTAAGAGAAGATGAGGTGTTTTTCAGCTGTCCAAACCCTGAACTACTTTCTGTACACACACACCCATTAAATTCAAAATTTTGCTAATTTAACACTAGTAATCCCCCTTTATTCAAATCCGAAAAGAACACTGCAATTCTTGATCGTACATTTTGAAACTGTTAGACATAATCCATCAATCAATCCAATATCCATGGTTAAACTCAAGAATGTAGGTAGTTGCAGTTAAGGTAGAGGGTACCACTGCATCAGTTACATCACAAAGAAGAGTTCCACTCACAGACTTTTTGACTTGGAGTAATCTCCCTTCTACCTACCTATGGTAGAAAGTAAACCGACTAAAACAAGTAGTTTTCCCTCTGGCTCAGAGTCACTTCCCATTTTCATTAATTGGACAGTCGTATTTTGATTCAGTGTTAACATAATTCCTGTATGGCATCATGATCATTTAAAACATGTATAATTTGCAATGTAAAGAACCTGGATTCAATCACTGCAGTTTTTTGTTTTTTTTTATCTTTAATAAGTTTTCAAATACATGTATTGAAATTTGAAACAGCGGCAGTTCCATAAAATGTATGGCAACACATGACTTTAATTGACTCAGGAAAATGATTTAGTAGATATTTATCAACAGTAATGACTAATTAACCGGATGGTACCCTTGATCTGTGTAAGTAAAAAGAGACAAAAAAAGACAAGATGATAAGCAGTTTGTAGGGTGCTTGGGGCCTGTTCGTTTATGCGGAACAACCGGTTTGACCGTTTATAAATGTAACAATTTGGGGTATAAATCCTGGCGGACCTGCAAATGTTTATATGCAGGCCTTGCAAGGCTTGTCAAGGCTCCCCTGAAAGCAGCATCAGATTACTAGGTCCGAACTCATTTGATAAAAGAACAACTATGGTCCGACCGGTTTGGCCGTTTAAACGAAAACGACACTGGTCTTCTGTTTTGTAATGAGTGAACCTTAAATAGTACATAAAACTAAATAACTAATGAGCAATACGATACCTGGAGGCAAGCAATGCCGGTAGTGACAGGTTTTCCCTCCACTAGGACATTCCCAGAACCAGCCGTACTTGTAATTCTCAACAGCATCCAGAAAGTGTTTACAGATCTGGAAAGAAAAGCAATCAAATTTTATTTTTCAAATAAATATTTTAGCTAACGGCTATTCACTAATACCTTCCACTGCCTCATTAAAGGTTATGGAAGGAATATCTTCTATGTAAAAAGAAAATCAGAAACTGGGCATACAATGGTCGATACAGTTCATCCTTACCCGCTTCATAGACCTCGAACATGGTTAGCTGTTCCGAAATCTTAAGACCGTGTGTACTCACCGGCTGCTGAGTCATGACTGCCAATATTAAGGAATTATCCCTAAAATAACGGGACTCCATCCCAGACTCGGGGCACTGTTTTTCTACACGACTAAAATTTCCAATGGGCCATTTGAAAAAACTAAAAATACTAACACACTAAACAAAAGGAGATGTACACTGTTTTCATAAAGCCTCAACGTCTTTGTTGAACAGAGGAAGATAGAGTTGGAGAAATAACGTAAGAATTTTACAAGTCAGCTTTCGATAATTGAGGCAGTTCCAATGTCTCATTCATGGTAGGTACTACATTCTAAATATACTTACAATACCAGTTTTGTTTTTGGATATGTCTGCATCTCCGTGTTTTTTGGCGACAACTTCCTCCAACTTGGTCTCATCCCAGGTGTCCATAGTGTCTGAAAGATAAACAGCACTGTCTGAGATAAAGAGATAACAATCTTTAACGGTCAAATCAAAGATGGTCACTTGGAAGCCATCTTTTTCCTCTGAGCAATCTCGATATTGAACATACACAACTAAGGATTAAGGAAAACCTCCATCATTGGCTTATGTTAGCTAGATATAAAGGGCGCTATATCAAATGTTGTAAAAAAAAAAAAAAAATATCAGATGGTGGGCTTATAATCAGGTGACATTGAACCATTGTAAAAGGGTACACCAGTGTTCAAAAACGGTACACAAGGGATCAAAAACAGTACACCAGGGTTCAAAAAATGTACACCAGGGTTCAAAAATGGTACACCAGGGTTCAAAAACGGTACACCAGGGTTCAAAAACAGTACACCAGGGTTCAAAAACGGTACACCAGGGTTCAAAAACAGTACACCAGGGTTCAAAAACGGTACACCAGGGTTCAAAAACGGTACACCAGGGTTCAAAAACAGTACACCAGGGTTCAAAAACGGTACACCAGGGTTCAAAAACAGTACACAAGGGTTCAAAAACGGTACACCAGGGTTCAAAAATGGTAAACATCTATAGACTACCTGATCATGATACCCTATCAAAATATGAACAAAAAAGTCCAGCCTGACGGTGACAGTCCAATCATATCAAACTCAGTAGCAAAACTTGCCTAACCACACAACTCAAGTAACCGAGGTGAGTTTAACATGCATGTTTCACCACACTACCAACTTCTACACATTCACTAGCTATTGAGACTGGAAGATATAGAAATGTCCCTAGAGAACTAAGGCATTGTACATGTACATGTAAAGAATGTAACTCCACAGACATGGAAGATGAATTTCACTTTCTATTAATTTATAGTAAATTTCAAAATCCTAAGAGTGTGGATTTGGTATTAAAACATATTATTAGAAGAATCCTTGTCTTAAAGGCTATATTAAGTCGTTAAGAGTCCAACATAGTATACAGCTACATATGTTTGGGAAATTTATCTTTGAGGCCAACTCAAGTTAGTTATTGTTCAAACTGTATAAAGACACGAGGTTTACAGAGTGTCTTTTACAATTTGAAAATTAACTAACGAGAGTTAGATAAACGTGATAACTAATCATTACGAGTTTGGGGACCTGTTTCTCCCATAATGTGCATATTTTATCTGAAAAAACAACTAATTTTCCCCTTTGGAAAATACATCATGTGTGTTTCCAATGGGGGAAGCAATTGCCGGGGAGCACGACGTCACAAAGGAAAATGATGTCGAAAAGCATTGTCACGTGACGTCATATATCAAAGATTGACCAATGAAATCACGTCCAAGGTGTTACCCAAAATGTTTACCAACTCCTAGCAGGTTTATCCAAGGAGTCATGAATGAGGAAAATGTACAGTGGTTGCGGGAGAATATGTTTTACCTTCATCACGGGAATCCTCATAAAGGTTCCTTTTTTCTCCTTTCCTGTCCAGTGCAAGATCGTGGGAGAATTTACATTTGGCTCCCTTGGCACATTGGCCCTGCTTGAAGAATGCACAGAGGACAGACTTGGGATCAGCACCTAAATAGAATGCAAAGATATCATATTAGTGATATTACCAAACTTTTTTTCCAACACTTAATGTCAATGTAATCATCTACAAAAAATGAGCACTTTTAAAATTGCTTCCATTGATTGCAATCACCGTAGGATTTTGAAAATTCATTAAGCAATATAAACACCTTAGCAACATATTAACTCATTCACCCCTGATATTTATTGATGAACTATTCCCAACCTTTGAATTGGAAGGGTTGAAAGTTGTCTTCAGGGGTGAATGAGTCAAGCAGGGGTTTCAGTGAGCTTTTGACTCATTGGTTTTAAGGGAGAAGTCTATTTGAAAGAAATTTTGACTCTCCCAAAATTCTGGGGGAAATCTTTTAGACTTCTTAAACTGCAAAATGGGTGTTATCTATATATATATTCTGTTTAGACTGAAGCAGTCTGTTGGAATGGTGCTACATTTATATATATTCTGTTTAGACTGAAGCAGTCTGTTGGAATGGTGCTACATTTATATATATTCTGTTTAGACTGAAGCAGTCTGTTGGAATGGTGCTACATTTATATATATTCTGTTTAGACTGAAGCAGTCTGTTGGAATGGTGCTACATTTATATATATTCTGTTTAGACTGAAGCAGTCTGTTGGAATGGTGCTACATTTATATATATTCTGTTTAGACTGAAGCAGTCTGTTGGAATGGTGCTACATTTATATATATTCTGTTTAGACTGAAGCAGTCTGTTGGAATGGTGCTACATTTATATATATTCTGTTTAGACTGAAGCAGTCTGTTGGAATGGTGCTACATTTATATATATTCTGTTTAGACTGAAGCAGTCTGTTGGAATGGTGCTACATTTATATATATTCTGTTTAGACTGAAGCAGTCTGTTGGAATGGTGCTACATTTATATATATTCTGTTTAGACTGAAGCAGTCTGTTGGAATGGTGCTACATTTATATATATTCTGTTTAGACTGAAGCAGTCTGTTGGAATGGTGCTACATTTATATATATTCTGTTTAGACTGAAGCAGTCTGTTGGAATGGTGCTACATTTATATATATTCTGTTTAGACTGAAGCAGTCTGTTGGAATGGTGCTACATTTATATATATTCTGTTTAGACTGAAGCAGTCTGTTGGAATGGTGCTACATTTATATATATTCTGTTTAGACTGAAGAAGTCTGTTGGAATGGTGCTACATTTATATATATTCTGTTTAGACTGAAGAAGTCTGTTGGAATGGTGCTACATTTATATATATTGTGTTTAGACTGAAGCAGTCTGTTGGAATGGTGCTACATTTATATATATTGTGTTTAGACTGAAGCAGTCTTGGAATGGTGCTACATTTATATTTATTCTGTTTAGACTGAAGCTGTCTGTTGGAATGGTGCTACATTTATATATATTATTGTAAAGACAGGATCATCATGTTTAGAAGACGTTACCTTTAGATATAGTCTGTACAGGCCTAAACAGAGAGTTGAGAAGCTCTTTCTCCTTCGCCTTTTCATCCTTTTTCTTTTTGTTGTCAAATAATGGATCTGCACCCTAACCAAACAAAAAGTGAAAAACATACATGCTAGATATCCCGGAGACCAATATGTGCCTTTCTCTTTCATTTTAAGGGATCTTTACTAGGTCAAAGTTTTGTAGATTTCATGCTGTAAAACCCTATTTTAATCCACTAAATTACTGAAATAAAGTACATATCAATGTGAACTACTGTATGAAGTGGAATAGGACGATACCAATAAACTCATTCGTTCTCTACTTCAGGGTTTCCAAATTATTATTTTTTTTAACTAATTCATTATCTTTTGGTAATGTTAACAAATACCTTGGGGGTTTTCACATTGCTCTGTTTGATCTGATGTGTGACAGTTTTGATGAACTTCTGCTGCTTTGTTCCCTTCTTATTCTTCAGACCGAAGGTTTTATCCTGAAGAGAAATGAAGACATTGACATATAGAAAACAGGTGCCTGTTTATATAATTAGGCCAAAAAAAAAGGTTTATATAATAAGGCCAAAATAAAAGATGGTTTCAGGTAACATGATTGAGAATAATAGAATCTTTCACCCCCTTGGGGATGAGATAGGAGAATCTCAACCCGAGGGGGGGAGGATTCTTAAGTTGCCAAAAACGAGGCTTTGCAGAGTGTTTGGCAACTTAAGAATCTTTCCCCGAAGGTTGAGATTCCCCTATCTCACCCACAAGGGGGTGAAAGATTCTTTTTCTCTTACCCTGTTCTCCCATTGTGTACCATGTATCATATACACAATGTAATGATAACATTACATGCTATATTCAGGGTTGACGTGATGTAGATGGATTGTTGACGCGAAACCATTGTATTGTTGAAGTGACATCATGTCATTGTTATGAACAGAGGAATCCCCCCCGTCTCAACCCTAGGGTGAGACAAGGAAATCTCACACCAGTAAAAGTATGGATACAAATGTCCAGGGTGAGAGAAAAATAGGGTAATAGGGATTTAAATTTATACTTTCATCATTTTTTTCCTTTGGATGTGGGTGGGTGGGTGCACGTGGGGGAGGGGGCAATTTAAGAAATTATCACCAAACATACTGAATCACACCAATTTTTCACTACATGTTACAGCCTTTGAAATAGTAATATGGAATTTAAATTTAGTTTTTATACCTTCCTATGAAATAAAGAGTTGTTTAAATGATGCTTATGATTTTTACGTTTGAATGGGACATTTAATCCGATAAAATGGTTAAGGTTGGAGGTAAAAAACCTCACTCTGTTTGGCAGGAATCAATCTAGGTTTTAGGGGAATCTACCCTTTTTCAGATTTGGGTGAAATTGAAATTTTGATACTATGGCTCTAGTGTCATGAAAGTGAAAGATAAATGCTTTGTCCGACATACATGTGTGCAGTATATTTCAATTTTTAAAAAAAAATTAGCTGAAAATTGTGGAATTTTTGTTTAAATTATGTAAAGAAAATGCATATATGCAGTATCATGCATTTTAACAGTTGGCCTTGACCAATTGAAGAAAGGTATTGTATAACAACCAGTTAAGTATTTCTGTGTGACGTTTCAATGACTAGTACGGTACGTACCTATAGGCCCGTCACCTTCATCAGCCAAATGACTGGTGATGCCTACTGTACACAAGTGTAAAATATATGTGGGAGTTGTTGCCAATATAAAATCAAACGCTGATCCTGATGTGCTTATAAGTGTATGCACACTTAGATGTTATACATGTACAAAATGAAGCATCAAACTGACAATTGGACTCATCAGCTCGGCGTTGTACATGTCTGACCATCATTTCAAAATATCTCCTATCTCCATTACTTGGCAATGAATTGGTATGAAGGTGTGTAGCTACATAGGTAAGGCTTTTTTATCTATTTTTTTCAACTATATTAATTGAGTCTTGTGACAAAGAGGGGGTAACATATTGAATTCATTGTTTCAAAAGTTCTTTAGGAGACGTGCATTACTTTTATATCTATTCCTTTTTCTCAATGTTTAAATTTTATTTTAAATAATGTTGTTAGGGATGAATTGATTCATTGAATCGTATACATATCAACTTGTATTAGTGATACTTTTTTGTGTATTGTTTCAAATAATTTTATCTGTATTGTGACACACTAACAATACTGAAATTATCAATTAAATTCTCATTTAACTCTAATGTGTACTTTATGTTTTGAACTTCTTCAGAAAAGAAGGTCTACTATAACACCACTGCAGTCAGGAGTGTAAAATTCAGCAAACCTGAAGCCCAGACTAGAAGTTTTTATTTTGGGGCTTGTGAAGATTTTCAATATTCACTTTGAAAAGATAGGTGCGGCTATTAGAGTTTTTTTAATCAAAATGCAGACTAGTATTCTGAATATGAATTTGTACACATGTCTGACAGCTGTCCTGTCATATCCAAAAAAGTACAAAACTGGGTTTTGATCGCATTTAAAAAGTTAACCGTGACAAAATTATGTAAAATCTTTTGATCAAACATATGCATTATGAAGTTAACTTTTTTGAATTTTAGGCAGAATTAAGTATCAATTTTGTGTAAACATCATATTGTAAGCATCATACCACAATACATATCATATTGAGAGGTCTTAATGAAACTATTTAACTTAAAACACATAATGCAACGAATGAATATCAGAGAAATTAATAAAACAACTGCACCAAAAAGAAAAGACACTTTTTACTTAATACAGTGGAACCCCCTTATTAGGATATCGGTTATTATGATATATCGGTTATTATGGTATTTTTTCCATGTACCGATTTTTCCTTCTTTAACTTAGCAAAAATAAATAGTTTATTATGATGTGGTCAAAGGTAGGACCCCACTTATTATGATATTTTTGTGATGTCTGTGTCTATGATATATCGGTTATTATGGTATTTTTTCCATGTACCGATTTTTCCTTCTTTAACTTAGCAAAAATAAATAGTTTATTATGATGTGGTCAAAGGTAGGACCCCACTTATTATGATATTTTTGTGATGTCTGTGTCTATGATATATCGGTTATTATGGTATTTTTTCCATGTACCGATTTTTCCTTCTTTAACTTAGCAAAAATAAATAGTTTATTATGATGTGGTCAAAGGTAGGACCCCACTTATTATGATATTTTTGTGATGTCTGTGTGAAACACCTGGACAATTACGCAAAAGGTCCGGCCAACTGTACATCGCCCGAGGTTATCACTTAAGGTAAATTTTTCATTGGAGTAAGTAGTTCGCGGCACAAAAAACATGGTCGACTAATTTGGGTTCGGTTATGCCGACACGGTTAACCGGCTGGCATTATTTTTAACTGTTGCAGCCTCACTAGATATCAGGTAAATCTTTATAAGAGAATAAAGAGATGGAAAGCATAAGATAACGTGAAAAAATGATGTTTCCATTATAAACAGAGGAGTAAACATACAAGGCATATAGCCCGGCACCATTTTGAGATGCAGGAACATGATCATTGTGAAATTTCAGTTTGTTTCTAAAACCAAGCTGTCATTTTGTAGAAACTGTGTTTTTTACAGATCTTGTACAAGTCGAATGACACAATGAATCCAATATTTCGATCTAAGTGGATCTACCAATTCCTAAAAAAAAAAAAAAAAAAAAAAAAACCCCCTTTCNTCAATTTTTTTTAATATAAACGGATTCACTGACTAATGGAATAAGGCATCCCTACCGCTGTGGTTCCACCTAGTAGCAAGTCATTACCTACAGGTGTTTCCCAGTGAATCTAAATCTTATCTTAAATGTCTCTACTGAGAAATACTGAATTAAATACAGATTTGTATGACAAGTATGTCAGCATATTAACTTTTTATGATGACCTTTAGAATCTATATGACAAAAAGTATTTCTATAGTGTGAATTTATTCCTATATTCCAAAACAGCTCTGGGTACAAATTAGTTTAGGCATAGTCAAATGCCTAAATTAGTAGAGGCATCTAGAGACAAATTAGTAGCTCTAGGCATAGTCGTCGCACGCGCCATATTTAAAAACGTGATCAAAACACTGACATTTGAGTTTGAATTATGTTTTCTTTTGCTATTTGAACTTAAAAACTAATCATCTGTAGACAAAAAAGGTGCATGGCTATCTATACTAGGACTATATCATTGTTATAACTGATTTGTTAACAAATTTATTTATTTATAAGTGTTTTTTGCAAAAAGTGATCCGATTCAGGTACTGATCCAATTTGGGTACTGCCTCCTTATGGACATAACGCGGATTTGACCACAGGGGCACACAATATTGGGATATAAGTTATTATAACGTACCCAGCGACTGAAAGCCTATATCAAGATCACTATTAATAGTAGTTGTGGGCCCCTGTGATTTAACTGAATACCATTTTCGAAATTCTTGTAAGTGATAGATACAACTGATCCAAATACTACAATTATAAATCGGTCGGGGTTTTCACAAAAGTGCAATATGGGAGTGACATGTACGTTTTTAATCGGTAAAACCATTATTGGTAGATTAAACCGGATATTTTCTATCAATCATACTTCATCAATGGGTCACATAGTGAAAACAATTGTAAACGTTAAAAACATGTTTAAACGAACTTTACAAAACCAATCATAATCCTACGGAACGACAAAATAAGACAATCCGTCTTTATATTACTTTCATGAGAACACGTTTTCAATGGCTTTCACAAATATTTGTTGACAGTCGACGGTTATTTTGGTTTCATACTTCTATGACTTTCTCCTTTTTCTTTTCCACGTTTTTCTTGCTCGGTCCATCTGGCTTTTTGGGTTTTGGAGGCATGTTCTTTGCTGTAAATCACTACAAACTTATTTCGATTGCACAAATAGGTAGAAAATGTGGACAAGACAACCGGAAGTAGCGCTGTTGGAATATGCAAAGCTATTATTTATTTTCTAACTGTAGTTTCGTATTAAGACGCGGGAATATTTGAAGTGTATTGCAGTAGTCAATTTAACTTCTAAGGCTATGCGGAAGTGGAAAACTAATGGACCTATCAGCTTATAAACATTGTCTTGCAATCCCAATATTAAGAGAGCATAAAAGAGTGAAGTGAAAATAGACGAGTTTAGGGACGAGGCAATAGGCCCAATTGTTATATCCGGAGGGGACCGGTTTACACTAACGTTTCTGCTATAGATATTTTATATACGTTTCTGCTATAAAAAAAAAGTATGTCCTAGGTGGATTTGATATCAAACTGTATCTGTACCATACATGTAGTTGAACTACATGTCTGTTGTCAATGTGTCAAAACGTCAATGTCCCTAACAAGAGAAGATTCACAATTATCCGTATATCTTCGTGTAAATTCTTCAACTGTTCTCTTAAAAAGCTGACCACTACTTACACAGCGTTGCAAAGCCTCGTCGGATATAAAATATAGCTAGATTATTTAATGGTAAATCATAAGAAAGAGTAGTTTCATTTCAAAATATTTTATTGTTAATACATGTATGTAGACGAAGTCGGAACTGTATACAGACACAATACATGTGTAACATGAAAAAGAGAAGTGTGCTCCACCGGGGATCGAACCAGCAACCCCAATCTGCCGCTCCACCTAGCCTATATAACAATATATATGCAAGACCATACACTTTCATCACATACCTTCCATACTTGGTAGAGATCGATACAAAGATTTTATAAACTTGATATTTTTTTGCAAATACCGGGAACTTTTCAGTTCGCCATGACAAAGGGATTCCCATAAAAAGTAGGGACAAGGGCCTAGTTCCGTGCAATACAGAACGTTGTATTTCATTGTCTGAAAATTGGTTGTATTACTATAACAAGATTCAACAGGTATGTGATAAATTCTAATATTGTAATATCATAATATTGTAATATATTTGTCTCTGTACCAAGTGAGCTATTTGGGAATTTTGAGGCTATAAAGACGACCGTGGAATATGCTGCATTTATATATATGAAGAATCTCCTAGAAGAGATGAAAGTACTTAAGACTCGTCGTTGTGAATTTTTCTTTTTATAACATTTCTTCGTCCGTGAGGATAATTTTTCTGCTTTTATGATATATAGATATATATTTATATTGCCTTTTCCTTATCCGGTATCCACACAGTAGATACGAAAGCCTATTTACAGACAAAAACAAAAGAATTCAGAAACAGCTAGGCCACATGATTCATCACTGGAAATTATACAAGGATCAGTCACAAGGACGCAGAAAGTCTCACAGACTGATATTCATGTACAAAGTGGTTGAGGGACTATTAGCCTCTGCACAGTTACATGTTCAAAATATTACACATACAGAAAATTGAATAGTTATTATTTATATCGATAGCAGTAGGGAAATAATGAAGAAAACAAGATGATGTTATTAGAGAACCACTCCAACAAACAGAGTTTGTTTGTGAATAAAGGGAGATAATTCAGAAAATAAAAGAGGACTTTTTGGTTTGGTACTGTATATTTTGTAGGTTCATAACTGAAAACGTTACATATAAATTGATAACCGTTCAGATTTTTTTAAGCAGGAATTAAAATATTGAGCCATATTGTTATTTCTTTTATAAGACATATCAACATCACCATGTAATAAAACATAAAGATTTACCCTATAACGGATTATACACAGAGATGGTGTCACTGGAAGAAAAGTGTATTGTATTTTCTATATGTGCACCACAAGTACAGGAACAATCATCGACCAAATGATCTATAAAAAGATACTGTCTGAGGACACCATTATGAATAATAAAAAAAAAAACAAGCAAAGAAAAGACAATGAAACATTAATTAAACAATCAATTTAATGGGTCGATTGCTATTTGACGTATTTAGCCAGTTCTGCTGGGTCTAGTTGCAGTACATTCATGTCTTCTATCCCCCTCAATGGCATGTAAAAAATGCAGTTATCTGTCAGTAATCTGACCTCGGAAGTGATGTTGTTTGGAAGATCATTTATAAATGAAGGCAAACGAGACAGGTCCCCTGGGTACCCCTTTGATGACTAGGGCTCATTCTACCATCGCCCTTAAATGCTTTGAGTATACGTCCTTGCTGCAGAAAGCTCTTTATTTCATTTTATAACAAGTTAAACGGAAGACGTAGACTACTAGTCCAGAGGTTTCCATTTTACAACAAGTTAAACAGAAGATGGAGACTTCTAGTCCGGAGGGTTCCATTTTATAACAGGTTAAACGAAGATGGAGACTTCTAGTCCGGAGGTTTCCATTTTATAACAAGTTAAACGGAAGATGTAGACTACTAGTCCAGAGGTTTCCATTTTACAACAAGTTAAACAGAAGATGGAGACTTCTAGTCCGGAGGTTTCCATTTTACAACAAGTTAAACGGAAGACGTAGAATACTAGTCCAGAGGTTTCCATTTTACAAGNAGGAACAATTAATGTACAATAGATTATAATTATTTGTGAGAAAAATGTACTGATTTCATGAAAACTTTGTAGGGATGTACTTTTGGTCTGTGTGTTTCTGACAAAAAATAATTGTTATCCATCTGTCCATTATCACCTCTCTTAAACATACAAGCCTATGTCAGTCCTCCATGTTTATCTGTGGTCAATGAGATCAAATTGCATTGTATATTCAACCAACCAACTTTAAGAATTTCGAAAANGTTTTATACCAGGTGAGCGATGCAGGCCCATTGGGCCTCTTGTTGTTGTTTTAAAAGATAGAGTATAAAATTATTAAATTACCTGAGATCAAGGGTATCATCAAGCGACCTGTTTTGATTGAATCCTGTCAGTCATCATGCCTTGTGTGTTATTCCTAAACAAATGACTTTTTTTACTTCACAAACCCTGCACCAATATCGTTGAAACCATCCATGGCCATAAACCAAACCAAACCAAAGCATATGTGCATGTTCACCCCATAAGATAGAGCAGCCATATTTATTGAAATTTCAAAATTTTTCAGACCCAGATATGGTAGAAGCAATCCCTATATTCGTGGATTGAAAGAGTTTTTATGATGATGCATGTAGAGTGTCTTAGGAAAGCTGTAAATTTTCCACTTAAATTCTTGCAACCTGCGAGATGGTTAAGGTTAAAATTTTGTTAAATATTTTACTGTCAGTAAATGTTTTTATGATCAGGTTGAATATTACTATGGAATATATATATATAAGTTTTATCATGTTAACAATTTGACCCTTATATCCCTAGGGCCATACAGGAGAAAAATTGACTGAATTTTAATTGATATCCCAAAAGGTTTAAAATGCTTTTTGATTTTCTCTACTGACAAGTAGTTACCCACTGCTGTAGTAGTCAGATGACCGTTTAGGCCCATGGGTCTCTTGTTGATATAGATACATGTACAAAGTACTTTGGATTCACTTGTTTTGTGGCCATTGGTATTACATTAGAATAAAACAAATATAGAATTGATTAATAAAAGTTCATTTTTCTTTGTACTTAATTTATGTATTGATCAAGAAATCAAAAAGTACAGAATGAATATTATTTCCACAAATGATCATGGTATTGCAAAGAATATTAAATATTCCACAGAAATTTATATATCTTCTGTTTGTTCTAGATATGTCCAGAAAATCTTATAAAGAAACAAAGAATTACTGGCAATTAGACATCATTGTTTAACTGAATTGTGTGACTTCAGTTGCCAAATTTTGGTAGTTGTAAAGAAGCATTTTCCCCCTTTATCATTTACTTGTAAAATTAGTAACTGTTTTGATAAATTAGCTATTTCTATTAACAAGGACTAAGTTAATCCTGAAAGGCATACAGTATATATACCGGTATATAAAAAAAGTCGCAAAACAAATCATTGATTTAGACAGATCGAACAGTAGATATTTGGAATATAAATCTTGGTAATGATTTATATGTACTTCAGCCATTTCAAGTTTGTTCTATATACTTGTTTTATATGTTGAGAACCTTTGGGTAAATTATGTGTAGATATCTTGGAAGAATTTTACATAAGTGCCAATATATTGAGCTACTAAAATTTGATTACCTTTTGTTTATCTCCTATCCTGAAACCCTGACAAGTGTGATTTATTCCAACCTTGATTCATTACAATATACTAGTGTGCAACTTGCATTACCCCCATTGGAGAGATTTCGCAGTAATAAAATTATAAATTGTCTGTAAAATAATTGTGTTTTTTTCATATTCAATTAATTTTAGTTTAGTAGAATGGCATAGAATGTCAATGGTTTGTACACTATATTTGACAACAAATAAAGTTTGTTCATCACATTGTTCATTTTCTTTCATTGCTTGTAACTTAGAATTTGCACATATTAAGATGCAAGTATGGTCTCAAAAGATTTTTTTTTACTTTGAAATCAATTTTATACAAAAAAGGGGCATAAACCTTAATCATTACAATATAATATTATATACCATATCTCAATATATCTTTATATGCCCGTCAAAAAAATGGAGGGTCGGACCGTCTCCCCTGGAAGTGGAGGGGCAGGGCCCAAAAGGGGAAAAGAGGAATTTCCTCAAAATCTTTTTTCTGCTGTATCATTATCTTTATTTCCTCCAAAATGAAAAGCATGATAATATATAATACATACATTGAAACAATAATTATGCATGAATAATACATTTTGTGCAAAGAGAGACAATCATGACGTACATGTACATACAAGTATATGCAAACATACATAATTAGTTTATCTGGCCAGTTAACTTTAAGCCATGTAATAATATACAAAAAGCAAATTCGTGGAATTTATATTCCCCGCTTGCAGGACATATTGTAGGTTAACATTATAGAGGTTAGGTTTAAACATGTGAGTATCGTGCTGTTGAGACATATGTATAGCTTGAAACATGAAGAAAAAAAAGCCCTATACCTCATTGATTATCCGTAAATATGCACAAATCACATTGGTTGGCAAACTTAGCACGAGTTGGATGTGCATAAGGAATTAGGTTGAAACATCTTAATATCTACAGCAACAAGTACTAATTGTAATGGGGGACCATAACAGATTGCCCTCAAACTGCCCCCATAGTCGCAGAGATGCATCAGAAAAGGATTGCATTAACATAGCACACCTACAATGTACATACTAAATTTGAGTGAAATTATCAGAATCTAATTTGCAGTCTCCTAATACCCCTATACCATTTTTCATGGAAATCTAACAATATCTAAATTGCGAGCAATCGGAAGCCTCCGTGTGGTTGCTATGGTAACAAAACTTAATGTGGTTTTATTCGCAGTCTCCTAATACCCCTATATACCATTTTTCATAAAAATTGAAAAATATCTTAATTTCGACCAATCAGAAGCCTCCATGTGGTTGATATGGCAACGAAACATATGCGGTTGAATTTGAAGTCCCCTTATTAATTATACCCCTATATTATTATATACCAATTTTCATCAAAATCGAACAATATCTGAATTTCCACCAATCAGAAGCCTCTGTGTGGTTGCTATGGCAACAAAACCTATGCGGTTGAATTCGCAGTCCCCTAATATCCCTATATACCAATTTTCATCAAAATCGACAAAGTTTGAAGAAAATTGGTTAACATGTGCTGCAGTTATTGCAAGGAAACGGCAGATAATGACGTTTTTCGTTATTCAAGGGGCTATAACCGCCGAATGGGGTCTGCTGAAAGTGGTCATCAAACTTTGTCGAGCCCTTAAGGCATTTAACCCTGTGACTAAGTTTGAAGAAAATCGGTTAATATTTGTTATAGTTAAATATTGCACGGAAACGAAGCGTGACAGACAGACCGAAATTAATATCCCCCATTTCGGTGAAAGCGGGGAATAATTATATACGAATATAGGTAACAGTATCTTGCCTTTATACATCCGGATTAGAAAAATTACAGATTCTTTTTATAAAATAGTATTTCTGCGACATTACTACTACTACTGTTATTATGCACACAAGTTAAACAATCTTTTTATTGCATATATACAGATTCTAATCTCAATTCCACCAGAGGCAGATGTGTGGGACCCAATAAAATAAGTCAATTGGTTATTCATGACTTATGTTGAGTGCTTTTCAACTTAATTTGCTTACAATCTTATTTTGAACCAGAAAGCTAAAAGCTAGTTAAAAGAAAGTGCAATACATGGTAATGAGAGGTAAATCCCAAAATAGGGAAAGTATTTGTAATACGTGTATATAACTTAATATAGTGCTTTGCACTTATCACTGAAATATCCAGGTTAGCGATGCAGGCCCCATGTGCCTCATGTTTAGTTCTTTATTTTTGAGACCATACCTTTTCTTAAATATGAAACAAACAGCTGATTCCAAACAGCCTCTCACTTGAGTTACATCATTGACTGTTGTATAAACGTATCACTCTCAAAGAGGTTTTATAATCGCCAATTCCAAAATTCACATTAAAGCTAGGAGAACCAACTTCCTGTGTCAATATCTGTATGCACCGGTCATTAAGTTCGGACAGAGGACTAAATATGGGCCTTTCATTCTGCGCAGTTTCTAGCAGAACATCAGGAATTGAACCCTCTACACCATAGTCCTGTAATTCATGTTCATCTACGTCAACACCAACTGTGTTTTGTAATTGCCCAGCAATCCACAGCGCTTGTGGGGACGTCTTCACAGTTCTCATTCTGTGAGCATCCCATGCATTGGTCCATACACATAGCCTTCTGTTAATTTCATCCATATATATATAATGAAGGGCTTGTAAATGAGTACTGTCCAAACAGTCCAAAATCCCTTGATCTTCCATATAGTAGAATAAATTGTAAAAAAAACTTAGAACACCTTCGTATACATCGCGCCACAAACGTTCAATACGCTGATTGTGGGTACTCTTCCCTGTTATCATGCCAGTTAATCCTCTGTTAGACAGCATGTAGTTTGCCACATCTACATTTTCTAGACCTTTGTCTGAGCGGACTTTGTTTGGTGTTCCATATTCGCATACACCAGAAAAAAAACTTTGAAACACAGTTGCAGATTTGTTGTTGTCATAGCATTTCAAAAACATGATCTTCCTACTAAAACCGTCGATACCGCCTGCTACTACAAACCGCCACCGAACAAGCTTATGATTAGTGTCTATGTGCCACAAGTGATTAGGTGCCATAACATTGTACACGCGTCTGTGGAGCCGTCCTTTACGTCGTTCCAAAACTCCTTCCGAGTCTATGCGATGCAAGGAACCCCGGAGACGCCATCTTTGCACTTTAATACCTTGCTGAAACAGCATTTGCTTTACCATACCTTCACCACAAAAAGGGAAATCTTTACTTATTTTTCGTAAGTTTTCATCGAGCAGTTCATCCGAAATGTTACTAAATGACATTTTACTCAAATTATACATGCACATCCTACGGTAAACTGTTCTTTCAGAAACTTGAAGTATCTTGGATATGTCAGATATTGGAAAACCGTTATCTAAAAGATACTCGAGTGTACATTTCGGAATATCGTAGGCTGGGGCCCCACCATTTAGTGTAACTTTGGCAGGAGGACAGTGACCATACTTTACACATTCAGTTCTAAGTTTCATCATGTCCGAAGAATTTGGTATACCTAAAATTTCCAGCTCAAATACAGACAGTTTTCCAACAATGTCAGGTGTTATTTTCTCTTTTTTGAAATTATTGCATGCATGGCCCAGGGCAAGTTTCTTGAGTATTTCTGACATATGTCCGTCTCCCATTTTGGCTGAAAAGACAAGCATACAGACTTTGAAACTACAACCACACAATTACAGCACAATGTATGATGAAGCTACACTATAATAAAGGTAGTCCGTCACCAAATATAATGATGTTGCCTCCAAATACAAGAGGCCCATGGCCAGCTCACATGGATATCTAAGCAATCATTGCAAAATATTCTCTAAATGAGATTCAAGGGAATAGGCCAGACCCCAAGGCCAATCCTTATAGCACATCTGTATTAGATTTTTTATGCCCAGCAATTTTATGTATGGTCATGGGTTGGGGATCTCAACTGTTTCCAAGCTGTGACTCAGAAACTAGGTCTCTAGGATTGTGGCCAGACCCCAGGATCAATTCTAATATCATGACTACATTTGTCTCTTTATGCCCAGCATTTGTATTTATAGTTTTGGGGTGGGGATCTCAACCGTTTCGAAGTTATGAACCAGGGGTTAAGTCTGCAAGGGTGGGACAGACCCTTGGGTCAATTCTAATATCATGACTGCATTTGTCTCTTTATGCCCAACAATTGTATATATATAGTTTTGGGTTGGGGATCTTAACCGTTTCAAAGTTATGACCCAGGGGTTAAGTCTCCAAGGGTGGGGTAGACCCCCAGGCCATCCTGGAAGCGTATGTGCATTCATCTCTTGATACTCAGCAATTGTATATATATGGTAATACGCGGGGGATCTCAACCATTTCCAAGTAATACACTTTTTTTGGCCCCACCCCTTAACCCGGGGGGTTCAGCCCCACCATTTGTACAATTTTGAATCCCTGCCTCCCATGAATGCTTCCGACCAAATATGTTTGATATCCATGGCATAGTTCTACAGAGGAAGTCGTTTATAGCAATATAGCCAAATTGCCCCCCTTTGGCCCTGACCCTCAGCCCCACCATTTGTACAATTTTGAGTCCCCACCACCTAGCTATATAGGGATGCTTACAGTCAAATAGTTGATATCCATCTCTTAGTTCCAGAGATCTAGAAGAAGCCGCTTAAAGCAATATAGTCAAATAACCCTTTTTGGCTTCTGACCAAATATGATTGATATTTTGAATCTCCACCACCTAGGGATGCTGCCAGTCAAATTTAGTTAAATTCCAATCAGTGGTTAAGAAGAAGTCGTTTGAAGAAATTGTTGACGTAGACATTATATAAAAGCGTCGGAATGACTAGGGGTGGGGTGGGGGTTGGGGTGGCAGAACGACTAAGGATGGACCGGTTAGGGGATGGAACGACTAGGGGGCCGGAAAAACTTGATTAAAACATGAGGCCAAATGGGCCTGTATATCGCTCACCTGCTTCTAATGCAACTGTATTAAGACTTTAGGTCATTAATGTGGATGCTAAGCTGATTACCACTTTATTCAAATATATGAGCAGGATAGGTTTATTTATTTAAGTATCTTTTGTAGCCCTTCATTCCAGCATACTACTGGCATTCATCATTTAAAGATTATAGGCTATTTGACCCCCGTGACCTCTAAAATAGGTCAAGGTCATCCTTGGGCCAAGGAGACACAATATTGTATAAACGGTGGGTATGACCCCCCTACGGATGCTCCAGACTAAATATGGATAAAATCCCATAATCCCAATGGTCGAAGAAGGATTTTAAACGTTTTACCTCTATTTTCCCTATTGGGCCCCACCTCTCTGCCTCCAGGGGGGTCAAAACCACCGTTTATTAAATATTAGTTGTGCAAAAAATGCTTAAATTTGAAGTGCAACAGAATAATGTCCGAAATTGCCACATTTTCCATACATTATTATACACATTCTGAGAAATGCTTGGTCAGAAATAGCTGAAATTTTGTGTCAATATCCAACAACCTAGTCTACAAATTTTGAACTTAAAACAAAAGTTTTGCAATGACGTGTGTTATTGTGAAGCCTCTAGATCTATAACATTCATCTTTTCTACCTGGGCCCTTTATTGTGTTTTACCCGAGTGTATGTCGGGGATAGAGCCAAGGCGGAAGGACAGAAGGATGGAAGGACGGACGGGTACAATGCAATCAACTACCATATCCGCTCAGCCCCCCGAGAATGCACCGACATCTGTATGTTGCTGTCTAATGGTGGAGGATAGCCACTGTGTCTTCTATAGGATTTCAGCCTATTCAGTACTCACTAAATCAGTATATTTTACAAACAAAACACGACTTTTTCCAAAAGATAAGCCTATGCCTATATGCTGCTTTACATTTGAGGTTTTAGCTATACTTACAAATCGCATCAGCAGCACCGCTTCGTTCGTCAGAAATGGCGGTATTAACGTAGTAACATGGCAGAAAGGGGCCCCGGTGAAAAGTTCCGTTTACTTCGGATTCGCGGAGACGCTTGTCAGAATTGTATCCAACGTATAATGAAGTTGTACAATAATATAATGAAGTTGTGCAACATCATGACGTTTGTGAATAATATGATGACGGAATGGTATAATGATAAAATATCGAATAACATAACGATTACACTAAATCATATAATGACGAAAGAATATACTATGATGTTGAAACTAAATAATATAATGATAAAGTTCAATCATATATTGATGAAATCGAATAATATAACGATACAACCAAATCATATCACGACCACAGCGTATAATATAATGGCGAAACCAAATCATACAACGATAATATCAAATCATGTAATGATAAAATCAAATAATATAATGATGAAAGCTTACAATACAATGGAAACCAAATCATATAATGATAAAATCAAATCACATAATGATGAAATCAAATAATATAATGATAATATGAAATAAGATAATGATAAAATCGAATAATATAATGATGACATCATATAATATGATAAAATCAAATCACATAATGATGAAATCAAATAATATAATGATGATACGAAATTATATAATGATAAAATCGAATAATATAATGATGACATCATATAATATAATGATAAAATCAAATCACATAATGATGAAATCAAATAATATTATGATAATATCAAATATTATAATGATATAATCGAATAATATAATGATAAAATCATATAATATAATGAAAATATCAATTCATATAGTATTTTTATGCCATATGTGACAGCTATGGCGTTCCATACGGAAGCTATCTCAAGCAATGATATTTTTCAGACAAAAAATGTCATCTAAAAATAAAAGTATCTTTTAACTTTTGTATACCAAACGTGATTATTGAAGGACTAGGTCAACTACTAGTGACAAAATAATCAATCCAAAATATTGTGAAAAAGTGTTATCTTTGAGAGTAGGAGGAGAGTCGAGTGGGCCATTAGTGGTCAGAGTGGTCAGTGGTTCTAATTAATGAGTTGTGTCAACCACAGCTGTACATATCAGTGAGTGTCTGCAGAGGGTCTGTAGTTGTTTATTTGTTTACGATTAGGCGTGCGATATAAATGTAGAGACATATTACTTGGTTCGGGAGATCTTATTAAGTTGTCAATTAAAGTTCGGACCGTTAGGGAGAATGTTGATTGAGAATGACCGGTGTCATGAGAACAAAGGGTGGTGTGTGTTACAGTGGAGATAGGGCAGGTTGTGTGGTGTGATAGAGTCAGTTGAGTGTTGTGTGGGGCACGAGAGAGGACGTAACTCTGAGAGAAAGAAACTACTGGACATGGGTTGTGTAAATACGTGTACTATTAAAATATCTATTGAACATGTGTGTAAATAAACTGTAAATAGTGAACAGTGCATTTTTTCATTATTAAGACAACAAAAGTCAAACCAGTGGCTCCGTCACATTTGGTGGCAGCGGTGGGATTGAGAGGATTGAAATGAATCAAAGTGCTTGACTAATTTTAGAACTTTTTACGAAACAAGATGTCCCGAAAAAGTTCTCGAAAGCAAAAAGGCCCAATTGAAGAGGATTATGGAGAATCAGTGAGCGCCAAATCCCAGAAACCGGAAAACAAACACACAGGTATAAATGTGAAACCAACACCATTTTATGGAACATTAGATGGTGATGTTGATACATGGATCAAAAACTTTAATAGGATCAGCAAGGCCAATGGATGGATGGAGGAAACGAAAACGGCAAACCTACCAGCATACCTAAGAGACAGAGCCGCAGAATTTTATGAAACATTAGACGAAGACATTACTTTCAAGGAATTATGTCAACACTTGAGGAGAAGATGTATGCCTACAGAACTAAAGTCCATGTATTACAGTACTCTGTTTAATGCGAAACAAAAGGCCGGACAGTCTGTTGATGACTTTGCATCAGAGATAAACAAATTATCCATCAGAGCATAAAGTGACATGCCTCATGAACAGCGACAGACACTGGTAAAGGAACACTTCCTTCAAGGGCTCGATGACAGTATCAAAAGGTTTGTGTTGTTATCAAACCCAAAGACATTGGAGGAGGCATTTAATACAACCAAGCGTGAAGAATGCAACAATCAGCTGACGGTCAGACAATGCAATTCTCTGAGAGAGGAACCATCTCTAAGATACGAAGTACGGGACCTGGCAACCCAGGTGAGCACAATTGACAGCCAGTAGAGGTCGCGGAAGAGGAAACTGGAATTCAGAACGAGGACGAGGACGGGGTCGTAACCTGAGGACGACAGATGGCCAGCCAATCTGCAACTTTTGCCAAAGAGTTGGCCACATCGCCGAGAGGTGCCCAGAAAATCAGTCATCAAACTAAAGTCTGCTTTCTTGGTGGGAGGAAAGGAAGCAGAAGAACGTAAACCATCTCCTGTAGACGAAGAGCCTGGAAGTAGGGATACCTGTGTCGCCAGGTATGGCTCTACTCTAGAATCCGATGGGGATCTCTGTGTCGCCAGGGATGCGCCCATGCCGGCATTAAAAGAAGCCCAGCTAGCATCGGATAGGGATCTCTGTGTCGCCAGGGATGCACCTAGGCCGAAAAAGGGAATGAGTACGCTGAAATCGGATAGGGGTCTCTGTGTCGCCAGGAATGTGCTTATGCCGGAACATACCGAAATTAGGTCGTGTACGACCGCTGTGGATAGATTCTGTGTCGCCAGGATCTATGGCCACGTGGGAAATTACGGTGTATCCATGTCGGTGGATACCGGGTCAAGCGTTACCATAGTAAATGACGGGCTAGTTGGAGATGAATTGATAATGCCGGCTGATATCAGAGTCACATCAGCAACCGGAAACAGAATTAAGTTAAAAGGAAAAGCCCAGGTTACATTGAATATCGAGGGCATGAACACTGACTGTATTGTTTATGTGGCAACAGACTTTCCATATGATTGTATCCTGGGACTAGACATTCTTCAGACGTGCGGTGCTAAAATAGGTATGGAGAAATTTTCAGTAACTTTCAAAACGGGTCACACAGTTAACTTTAGAGATAGTGTAAGTAACCATTTATGTGTAGTGACTTTAGATAATGATTGCACAGATTTTGATGTGAACCAAAATTTGTTGACAAATGAACAGCATGAATTGAAGGACATGTTGGATGAATCTAAATCGGCATTTGTGACAGGCACCAATGATGCATTGGGAAAAACGGTAATGACCGAACACTGTATAGAAACAAATGACAGTTTTCCTATCCATCAAAGGCCATACAGGGTCCCAGTGTCTCAAAGGGGAGTGGTGGATTCTCATGTGTCTGATCTACTTGAAAAGGGGATAATACGTCCATCCAGTAGCCCTTGGTCATCACCAGTCATTCTAGTACCGAAAAAGGATGGTAACACTAGAATGTGTGTTGATTATAGGAAAGTTAACAGTGTTACCAAAAAGGATGTATACCCGCTCCCCAGGATTGATGAACTCCTCGACATTCTCGGAGGTGCGAGATACTTCACCTCATTAGATCTCGCCTCAGTTTATCATCAAGTCCCGGTGAAGGAATCGGATAAGGAAAAGACCGCATTCTCCTATTTCGGAGGGCACTATGAGTACAATTATATGCCATTTGAATTATGTAATAGTGGTGCAACCTTCCAGCGCCTAATGGACAAGGTTCTATCCGGATTACAATGGAAGGCTTGTATAGTGTACATTGATGACATTGTAGTATTCGGGTCAACATTTGAGGAACACCAAACGCGATTACGTGAGGTGCTTGAGAGACTACAAAAAGCGGGATTAAAATTACAGTTGAAAAAGTGTCACTTCGGTCAAACGGAAATAACCATTCTGGGACTTAAAGTAACCAGGGCAGGAATAACGGCCGAACCTGAGAAGGTAAGCGCAATCAAAACATTTCCTGCTCCAAGGAATGTGTCAGAACTAAGGAGCTTCATAGGTTTGATATCGTATTATCGGAAATTCGTGCCAGACTTTGCGTTAAAAGCAGCTTCGTTACACAGACTACTGAAGAAAGGTGTCAAATTTAATTTGTCGGACAGTTGCGAGCAATGTTTCAGTGATTTCAAGCGGCTGCTAATTGAAGCGCCTATACTCGCATTTCCAAATTTTGACCTTTCCTTTCGCTTGTATACAGATGCTTGTGATAGTGGTTTAGGTGTCGTGTTGGCACAGGACACTGTTCATGGTGAAAAGACCATTGCGTATGCCAGTAGAGCCCTGAAAACCAATGAAAAGAACTACGCTGTTATAGAGAAAGAAGCGTTGGCGATAGTCTGGGGAGTGAAGTATTTTCGACACTATCTGTTCGGTAGGACATTTACCGTAGTTACTGATCATAACCCCCTAAAGTGGCTAATGAACATTAAGGATCCTGCAGGTCGTCTCGCTCGCTGGTCTCTAACGATCCAGGAATATGACATGGTTATTGAACACAGGCCCGGGAAAAAGCACCAAAACGCCGACGCGCTCTCGAGAATTCCTTCCATTGATTGTGCAAAGGTCAGTTCAGACCCCCATTGTACACATTCCGAGGATATGCATGGCATAAAACATAACCGGGTTCATGAAATGCAGAGAAAGGATCCTAACTTATCGGAATTAATTGCGTATCTCGAAACGGGACAGCTACCAGATTGGTCCACGAGAGCAAGAGAAATTGTGGTGATATCTAAGGATCATGAAGTGGTAGATGGAATTCTATACCATTTCTGGACACCGGGATCTCCAAAACGGAGACAAAATGTGCGCAGACAACTTGTGATTCCCCGTGGATTNCGCGCTATCACAAGGAGACAAACACGAACATATCGCAGCCTCCCAAAATACACACACATACACTACACGCATGCATCTTGCACACAGGGGAGGCCGTCCTTAAATGACCTTAGCTGTTAATAGGACGTTAAACAAAATCAAACAAACAAACAAACAAATCTATTGGAAAGGGATGTACTCCGATATAGAATTCTGGTGTCGATCATGCGTGGATTGTGCCATCAAAAAGTCACCGAAAAACAAGATCAGAGCCCCTTTAAATCCTTTACCTGTAG